ATGTTGCACAACTTAATTGCTCCGTTATCTCTTGTCAATTTAAAGTTTGGCAGTGAGTTGCTTATGGTTGTTTGTAACATTTTTTGCACTGTTGGAAGGGTAAATGCTGTAAATAACAGGAAGAAATAGGAAAACGAACAATGGGGGAAGAACACAAATATGAGTGTGTCATGTCATTATGCGAGTGTAGAAGCTGAAACGGCAGTGGGCAGGACACGTTGCAAGAAGACCCTGTAATCGCTGGACCTGGATTTGAGGCGCATTAAACTGGATTTTAGGAGGAAGTAAACGCCCCGCAGGAAGACCTCCAGTTCGATGGCTGGATGACCTGAAAAAGTTCATCTTAACATAGAATAAGAATCACAAATAATAAACATTCATCTGGAAGTAGATCGAAAATGACTTATTAATGATGGTATTAAATGCACAAATCTGAATGCCTACTCTTCGTAAAAGCAGAAGTACAGTTGTATTAATAGCGGCCTTTCTGATATAGCGAGAAAAGGATGACGCGTTTTGGTCAAGCAAGTATAATTATCAATCGCGTCCGCCTGGAAGATGCCGGCGTGTACACATGTCAGGCGTCTAACTCTGAAGACACTGTTGAATGTCGATCCACGCTGGAAGTTCAAGGTTCGTGAAATTTAACAATTCAATTTAATGTAAATGTACATGTTTCAGTGCATTTAGTTTATTGTAGTGATTTGTATCGCGCTATAATCTGTTCATCTGTAAATCAGATATGCTTAAACTTTTGAGCAGTTTGATATATGCGACAGCAATGATAATAAGTGTGTGGTCCGTACGAATGGAGTTTCTATGGCTTACGGCACTGATTGCTGCCTCAAGTTCCTGGAGGCCCGTCAAAATAATTTATTCGTACTTTTAAACCAGATTTGTAACATGAAGTTTAAATGTACTGCGTGTTCATCGTTCTCTTTAGGGACGGAGTAGGATCAGGGGTGGTTTCTTGCGGTAATGCTCGAATTTTACGGAATCAGTATTAATAATAAGCAAAGAGCTTTAACTCTCCCAAAACCAGATTGCATGGCGTGTTACATCGCCCCGTTGTTCGCTCGTGATTAGCATTAGATTAAGGAATAAAATGGTACGATGTACATCTACCACTGCAGTCATTCACGTGCCATGGAACCGTGGTCCGCTTAAATGGTCCTGTATGCAAATGCCAGTTAGAGGACGGTGCAAGGCGCCGTGAAGTTCGGTTTTGGACGAGTTAAGTG